AAGTCGCAAGCCTGTCTCGAGAGCGCTGCCTGGGCGGAGAGTGAAGATGAGATCGTGGTCCGTAGGTTGACAGCAGCGCGGTCGAGATTCTCTTGCTAGGCCCAGCTCTCCATCGCCTTCTCAGGTTCGGCCTGTACTCCATATGTCAGTATCAGTGGAGGGCGGTGCTCTCCTCAGGATGGGGTTCAACGTACTCTGCAAGCTTCTGTATTGGTACAAGATGACGTCCCCGAATGATGTCTCAACCGAATTACTCCTCTTGCTCTTGAGAAGGCTCCTCTGGAGAAGCGAGCACGAAGGAGTCAACGTCCCAGCCGAAGTGATTGCGTAGGTACCGGCCATTCTCCCACAAGCGACGGATCGGCACCGGCTGGCCGTGCATGTCGTGAAAAGTAACGGGCGGTAGGTCCTCGTCATCGGTCGACTTGAATCGCCACTGCGACCCTTCTCTCTTCGTCGTGATGTACCCCATGCAGCGCATCAGATGGAGGAGGTCAGTCCACCTGACCTCGCCGGGAGCGCTGCCGTCGACGCGATGGAACATGATCTCCACGAGATCCATTGCGCGCTGGTCAACGGTGAAGGTTTTCTTGGGAGGAGCAGGCGCCGGTTCTCGGGGGGGAGGTGGCTGTCGAGCCCTTTGCTTGAGGGGATTGGGACCCTTGACGCTCTTGGGTTTTCTGGCCATTGTAGAAGGTCGAGAAGTGTTTTGGGAAGGTGGAGAAGATGAAGGAGATGGCTTTTGGGTTCGCGAGATGGATGTGCGAGATGGGTGGGTGGACGGTGTGGTCTCGATGTCTCGCTGAGAAGGGCAGACGGCTGTATCCAAGTCTCGGTGCACCCACGACAGGCGACACGAGAGGAATCGTCGTCGTGGTAGCCACACCAACGCCTCGCAGGGTGTTAAAATGGAAGCAGTCTGGCATCTCGACCACAACAAGGGGATTCTGCAACGAGACTCGAGAAACACCAAATCGAAAAGATCCACTTCCCATCCCAGGCTCTTGGAGGCTCTCGATACTTGAATCCGCATTGGGGTGCGGTTTTCCGGGGCCCGACACCCACACTCGCCATGTTTGCTCACCTTCTCGCAGCTCAGACCCTTTTTAGCACCAGCCTTGGCATACGGGATGACAAAACGAAGCCACAACTTCTCAACTCTCTCAATCGTGCTGAATGGACAGACCGCCATGCTCGCGATACCCCATCGAGAGGCGGTAGCAGCATGTGGAGCCTTCTGATGACATTCGAGCATGCCCTCGTCGCGGAACATAATCTCGCGACGGCCATCCGGGCGTTTCGATAAGTTTCAGGCAATACCATTTCCACATCCTCGACACGACGTCCTGGAGAGCCCACAGGGATCGTGAAGCGCTGCAACTCATGAGCTGCCTCTCATGACCTCCACAACCCGCGACCCTGAGCCAAAGGTGCAGCACGGTTCGCAGATTCATACTCAGGAGCGACCGGAGACAAAGCCCCAGGAAGAGCCAGACGGCACCGTGGAACTCTTAGTCATGCATCGATTCCCCGCTCTTTCCAAGTACCAAGGACGAGACTTTGACGAGGACATCAAGAAGAAACCCCAAGAAAAACAATCTGGCAAAGAGACAATGCATGCCAGATAGCAAAGCAACCAAGACGAGATCCGAAAACGAAAGCGAAAAACACAAGGGAATCAAAGATGTGCGCCAAGCCAACGCGCAAAAGGGAATCCAAAGCATGACAAGGCATACTCGACGAAGGAACCTGAGAAGAAGCAGGCCAAACTCTCGGGAGTAAGGCTAAGAAGAGTACACTGTACCATTCGTCTCGTTGCCCCGCCGAGTGTTGATGGCATCAAATCAGCGATTTGGAGAGAGAAGAGCTGGGCACGAATAACCACCCAGCTCCTCCATCTTATTTCAGTGCCTCTTGCAATTTTGAGCCGATGTGCACGCAACGCGTAAGAAATATGCGCTGGAGTGGATGATGAAGCGTAAAAGGGTCTATGCGGCATTGGTGCAAGCCGTAAACCCTGGCACAGTGGAGTTTCAAGCTAGGGAATCAACTTCTTACCGGGGATACAGGATTGACTTTATGGCAGCGCCGCTGATCTGGTCCCAAGGCCTAGAGCAAAAGTTGTGGCGCATACACACAACAATCGAACGAACAGGAGGCATTCGCTCGACCAATAAGGCTCAGACGAAGCTTCCAACGTCATTCCCATCATCGGAAAGACAGAGACCTTTCAAGCTCCCGAGAAAAGTGGGCACAGGGAGCAGTCAAGATGTTGCGTGCGCCATGATTTTCGCAACTAAGCCTCGTCCCGGCTCCCGTCCGTCCCGCAAATGCATGCGAGAACCTTACCTGGACGACCCCGGATCCGCGCAGACGGACTAACTTTGGCGGGCTAATGCGGACGAACGTTAGCGACAGGAAGCAGCTGAAGCTTGCCGTTTTTGCGCCATGCCAGCAGGATATAAACAGTGCCGACTAGCTGCAGTCTCAGAAACATCGGTCTTTGACCGCTCTGACTCCAGAGAGCCACAGCCGCCAAGATGGAACTGTTCATCAATATTCCTTTCCCAACGTTGTTGCTTACGTCTGCTGCTATTGCACTCACTTGGGTAGCATGGCGAGCGGTGTACAACATCTACTTCCACCCTCTCGCACGTTTTCCTGGGCCTAAACTGGCGGCCGCGACGAGATACTGGAAGGCCTGGGTCGAGTGCTTCCAGGCAAAGTCGTTTGTCCACGAGCTCGAGAAGCTGCACGCTCGATACGGAAAGGTTGTGCGCGTAGGGCCGAACGAGGGAAGTAGACGGCACCTATTGCTGGGGAGCATCCTTGCATGCTAACGCTTTAAGTCAGCTGCACTTTTGCGAACCATCCGCTTACCATGACATTTACAATTCGCGCAATCGCTGGGACAAGGACCCCTTCCTCTACCGGAGCTTCACCCAAGACGAGTCGTCGTTCGGCTACCTCGACTACCGCACGGCGAAGCAGCGGCGAGACATCCTCGGCATGTCCTTTTCGCCATCGGCAGTGTCCCAATGCGAAGAGCTGCTCGTCGACAAAATTGGCGAGCTCTGCTTTGCCCTCGAGGCATGTCGCGAGGTCAAGAAGTCCGTCGACCTGAGTCTCGCCTACCGCTGCATGACCCTGGATGTGGTAATGTACTTTTGCTTTGGGACATCCGTCCATGCGCTCAAAGCGCCAGAATTTCGATCGCCCTTTCTGATCGCCGTAGAAGCCTCGACTCCACTAGGCCTGCGCTTCAAGCACTTTCCGCTGTACAAAGCTTTGCTCTTGGCTGTTGCTCCGACACTGTCCAAGTTCTCAAGCGACCCCATCATGTCCGGCATGGTCGAGCTCAACGCTTTGTTCCGCAGCCAGGTCCGCAATGTGATGAATGATCGGAAGCGCACGCTCGAGCGCCTGCCCCATGGTTCGACTATTTATCATCGGTTAATGGATCCGGCGGTGTATCCGAGTGGCGAAGCGCCTCCTGGGGAGAAAAGTCTTTGGGAAGAGGCGCAGACCTTGCTGTATGGTGGATCAGAGACTGTCGGCTACGCGCTGATGGTCGGGACCTTTCACCTGCTGAGGAACCCGGAGAAGTTGCAGACATTGATGGACGAGTTGGGGACAGCGTGGTCTGCCGGCGATGGAGCACCCGGGCTGAAAGAGCTGGAAAAGTTGCCGTATTTGGATGCTGTAATCAAAGAGGCACTGAGACTGAGCCATGGTGTGGTGGCCGGGCTGCCGAGAGTCGTGCCACAAGAGGGTGCAACGATCTCGGGGAGCAGGATACCTGGTGGCGTAAGTTGGCAATCTTGCTCATAGGCCGGTGACTAATCGTGTCTCGCAGACGGTCGTTTCCATGGGAAGCTATTTTGTGCATAGAAATGCCGACATCTTCCCTTCTCCGCAGTCTTTCAGGCCTGAGCGCTGGCTGGAAGAAGTGGGACTGGAGCATTGGCTGGTTCCCTTTTCTCGAGGTCCACGAATGTGTTTAGGGGTCAAGTGAGTAGAAAAGGAGCGCTCCAAAGCAGCAAATCTGACCAATCACAGCCTAGGATGGGCAGAACTGCGCCTGACATTTGCGCACGTAATTCATCGGTTTGGAAATGACATGAAGTTGACAGCGTCGAGGCAAGAGCCCTTGGATCTCTGACGACCATGCCACTGACGCAAGAAGCAGTCCATCCGAGTTGAAGTTCCGCGACATGTTTATGCCGAGATATCTGGGAGAGAGGGTCAAGGTCGAAATTTCGCCGAAAAAGTGATGCGCGCAGAAACTGGGGCAGTCGCCTCCAGCGCGTGTCCATTGAAAGCGACAGGCTGGCGTGAATGACAGTCGTGGGAAACAGAGGCGTATTGACTGCTTTTTTTTTTTTTTTTTTTTTTTTTTTTTCTTTTTTGAAGACGTTGGGACAGGGAAGACTCGAATCAAATGTAAAAGATCAGAGTCTGTTGGCAGACAGCAGGAAAGCAAGCACTCGCGACACAGCAGAAACAGAGAGACAGAAGTTGTCGACGAACCAACCAACGTAGCGGCTTTCTTGCTCGTATTGTGAGAGTACGTCTGAATGACGACCTGGCCTGAAGAAGCCTGACCGCGCGACAGCTGGTGACACATCGAAGGCCTCGATGTTGAATCGTGGTCTCATTGCCATGGCGGCAAGTAGACACACTGGAGCGCCAGCGTTTCGCGAGTCGCGCCTGCGCGCAGCAAGCAGGGCGGCAGACTTTGGTGCATCGAGCATCCCGCAAACGCAGAGTGGCAAGTGACGCGGCTCGTGATTTTGATGTGGCGGTTCCAGGAAGCAGAGCAGGTCAACGGACGGAGAACAGACGTTGGTGGTTGTTGAAGTGTCAGCCATCGGATCCCTCTCGCTCGCTTCTCTTCTCGCCAACAGGGACCCCGTGGTTCCCACGCCCCCCTTCTACCGCACAGACCAACAACGTCAGGAGATAGATCCATTACCCCACCTGTAACTAAATAATTTGACGGTACGATGGCCGAGTGGTTTAAGGCGATAGGTTTAAGCTTAGCTAAACGTGAAAGTGGCGCCGATATGAGCTACTCCCTATTGGGCGTAAGTCCGCGTGAGTTCGATCCTCACTCGTACCAAAAAAATGCTTTGCCTTTTGCACTGACGGTTTGCTGTTTTGAGTGTGCGAGGACGGAGCACAAGGAGGCAACTAGGGGGGTAGGGCGGCCAAGGCGAGAGACAGAGTATTGTTTTGCGCTGGCGACGAGGAGATGAGCGAGTTGTTTGCATGTGTAGAGTAATACGAAATGAGGCACCAGAAAGCAGCTTTGCAATCGAGACATGTACGTTGGATTGGAAAGACAGCGACGCAAACAGCATGTTCATTCAAAGTCTCAGCGCCGACAGTCCGGGCGGGTATCCGTATCTCTACCACTCTCAACAAACACGCTCCGCTGTACATCCGGATGACATGTGCACGCCTTGTGACAGGTCAACGACATCTCCCACCCTACAGCCGCGCCTTCGGCCCCTCTTCCTCCTTCAGGGCACGCTCCTTCAACAGGCGCCGCAAGATCTTGCCGCTGATGCTCTTGGGGATCTCGTCGACAAACCGAACGCCGCCGCGCAGCCGCTTGTGGTGGGCCACCCTTTCCGTCAACCACTCGACAATATGCTCCCCTGTTTGCGGCGTGCACTTGATGCCTGCCGCGGCCACAATGTAGGCCCGAGGCACCTCGGTCGCCTGTTGCTTGTCGTAGACGCCAATTACAGCCACATCCGACACGGATGGGTGTGAGATCAGGAGGCCTTCAAGCTCTGCAGGTGGGACTTGAAAACCTGTCGTGGATCAGCAACAATCAAGCGGAACGCAAAGGACATGGACTCACCCTTGAACTTGATCAGCTCCTTGACCCTATCCGTAATGTAAAAGTGTCCCTCCTCGTCCTGATGGCCGACGTCTCCCGTCCTGAAGAAGCCATCCTCCGTGAGCGCATTCTTGGTCGCCTCTGGGTTCTTCCAGTAGCCCTTGAACACGTTTGGCCCCTTGATCCACAGCTCGCCAGTCTGGCCAACTGGGACCTCCTTTTCCTCGGGGCTCATGTACTTGCCAGTCTGATTTGGCAGCAGCTTGCCCACGGCGCCAATCTTCTTGTTCCAATCAGTCCACTCTTGCGCGTGCGTCGTCGGGCTGGTTTCGCTCAAGCCGTAGCCTTGCTTGACGGGTATCTTGCGCTTGGCGTACAAGTCGTTGACGAGCTCCTGGGTAAGGGGCGCGGCGCCCGAGTTGGTCATGCGTAAGGAGGAAAGATCATACTTGTCGACCAGAGGGTTCTTGGTGAGCATGAGCACTACGGGAGGGACAAGGTACGCAAAAGTGATGCGATAGTCTTGGACGATGCGGCAGAATTTCTCCAATTCAAACTTGTCCATGACAACCAGCTCCATGCCGCCGAGCATGCTGTGGTGTATCAGGCACGTGAGACCTATTTCAGTCAGCCGCGGCCTTTGATGCCAGGCAGTGTTGCTCACCATAAATGTGGAAAAAGGGCAAGAACGCGAGCACTTTGTCTGCCGGTCCGTGTGGACCATGGTTCCAGTGCAAGTTCTTGCCCTCGACTGCGTAATTCATAAGGGTGTTTGCGACGATGTTTCTATGCGTCAGCATGACGCCCTTGGGGTGTCCTGTGGTGCCCGAAGAATAGACCAGGAAGGCGAGGTCCTCATCCGGCTTGAGCTTTGTTCTCCTGAAGCGTGCTGTGCCAGAAATATTCCGTATGCTCGTAAAGTGCTTCACTGTGCCGCTGGGGTCCCGCGCGTCGCCCATTACAATGATTCTGTCCTGAGGCACGCCTGCGATTTCGGCGGCCTTTTCGACCATGGGCACGAGCGGCAGCTGTGTGACGACGGCCTTTGCGCCAGCATTTTTCAGCTGGAACGCGAGCTCATCGACCGTGTAGGTGGGGTTTGCGGGCGAGATGATTCCTCCTGCCCAGTGGGTGCCCCATGTGATGGCTGGCGTGTCTATGCAGTTTGGCGAAAACAGGGCCACGACATCACCCTTCTGCCAGTCCCAGAGACCCTTGAGACCCTTGCCGAAGTCGATTGCCGTGGACTTTACTTGGGCATATGTGTAGGAGCGCTTGGTGTTTGGGTCGTGGTAGATCACTGCAGGGCGTTAGCTCAGAGTCAAGGTGGTCTCGCAAATTGACCGCTGGCATGCGAACAGTAAAAGCTTGTCTCATTGCAACCCCACCTTTGTCATCTGGAAAAGGACGGTCTTTTCTCTCGAATAGAAAGGCCCAAATGTCGACGTCGGGAACGGAAATGGCGGGGTACGGCGAGTCGGTAGGCATTGCTGGTGGGGGGGAGGGAAAGTTGAGACGGAGGAGAGACAAGATTCCAGAGATGGCGGAGAAAATGATTTTAGAAGAAACAGAGCGGCGAGGCCATTGGGACTTTTTCGAAAGGAGGAAGGGTAAACAGGACGCGGGGACGGGAGGTGACGACAGAAAGTGGGTTGAAGGAATCCGGGGAAGCCCGCTGAGGCCGAGGTCTTGGATGCTGTAGAAGTCCTGGCCGCGACATTCGCCACCCCTGTCTCAGTCGACGGCAACGACATGGGCCAGCAGCCGAGGCTTCTCTACGCCCGGAACATCACTTTGTCCTCCGCCATGTCCATCAACATTAAGTGTCAACCTTTCCCTCCAGCCCAATGAAGTCGCCAGCGACCTGTGACGCAGCCTTTCGGTCTGCCTTCGGCCCTTTCACACACGCACCATGACCTCCTTCGCCGACGCTTCTGCTGTCAAGCCCTTGACCTCGCACTCTTACGCCGCCAACTTGTACTCGTCGTGGTCTGTCGGCTCGGGTCCGTATTCTGACCTCTCAAGCGACGCCAACGCTGACTCGTACCAGTTCCCCATGGCGGCTTCGTGACGGCGGTGTTCCTCCAGGTTGCCTCCGCTCACTTCAGGACGACCCTGGCCCGCCAGAACCAGCCCCACACCATCACCCTGCACCTCGAGTTTCTGCGGCGCACCCAAGAAGGCCCGGCTGTCTTCACCGTCCAAGACTTGAAATTAGGCCGGCAGACGTCCAACATCCACGTGTCGCTGAGCCAAGACGGCCGTGAGGCAGTAGTTGGCTACCTCACCAATTCCAACCTGCACGCCGAAGAGGGCATTTCGCTCGACACTGGCTGGTCCCTCCATCCGTCGCCACCTCCGGTCGATCTCGTCAAGCTGGCAGAGGACACGGACGAACATTGGGAGCTGCAAAAGAACCGGCCCTTTCCCAAATTCCGCAAGGTAAACGGTCATGTCCGGACGCACCTCCCGCGCCGTGGCCAGGTCATGCGCAGTCTGGCCGACGAGTGGCTAAAGTTCTCCAACGGCGAGAGGTTCACAAACGAGAGCGTTGGCCTGGTGGCCGACCTTTGGCCGCAGATCGTCGAGGCGTACAATAGTCCCGAAGACAATGCCCTTTCTTGGTATCCTACGCTCTTACTGAATCTCGACGTGAAAAAGGCGTTGCCGGCCGAGGGCGTCGAATGGCTCTTTGCGCGGGTGAGGGCTAAAAAGATCAAAAACGGACGCCAGGATCTTGAGGTCGTCATCATGGATGAGACTGGTGACATTGTGGCCTTGAGCAACCAGGTCGCACTGATCTTGGACTCTTCGAGGAACACAGCGAAGCGACGGTCCAAAGAGGTGAAGCTTTGAGCGTTGGCAGGTGCTTTCTCCACGGGGACATGGAGCAGAGATGGCGGGGCTGCGGAGGTCCAGTGGGACGGATCGTCTCGACCGCTGTCAGGCTCCGTCAAACTTCGTCAATGGCGACCTTGGCGTAAAGGTCCCTGCAGATTGACGTATGGGGTGACTCATGGCGCCAAAAAATTTCGAGCTTTCCCCGAGTTCTCCACGCACTCCAGACGAAGACCCCAGATGGTAGCCGACTGCCTCAAAGTTGGATGGGTCGCCGAGCGGATCCACGTCGCTGTTCTAGCCAACATGGTGTCACACAAGTCTCGATTGAATCCAGCCGCGCCAGATCCAGAGCCTTCCCGAGCAAGACATGGTTGTAGATTAGACAAAGACCATTGAAGCTATCTCAAATGCGTCCCCCCTTCGTTCTGGATGCTGATGGGATGCAGAAAGGCCGGTTGTAACCACTGCATTGCTGCAAGTTGCCTAACTTTTCAACCTCCATCTCCTCCACTCTTTTTTCCGAAGCTCACGTGTTTGGCTTTGCTTTTCAGCAAGTGCCTATATCGGTGTGCGCCTTCATCATGCGCGCGCACGGGCCACGAGGAGTAGACGTGTGCGCCCTGTTGTGACCTGAGTCTTGTGGTCTTCGACGCGTACGTGATATCGTGCACGTGTGGTGGTGCTCTGACTCCAATGCTGGCTGTCAGGGAGTATATAACTTCCAACCGAGCCCTCGATTGAATCATCTTTCACTACGCAGCAATCCGCGGCTCACGTCTTTTAAGCACACGAAGCAATGGTACTTTGTGTCGTGGGCTCGAAAGACACATTAAAGTTGAGCACCGGCTTCTGTCTGTTCTCTGTTGTTCTCATCTCCTTTTTTTGAAACTGACCTAGTCTGCTGAAGGCCTTGGAGGACCCGAGACCTGCTCCTTACTTTCATCGTCACTTGCAGGAGATGTTGAACACCGGCACCATAAACGCGCTTTATAATCAGAAGGAAGAGACTATGCGCGAGGAGGGAAGTCGTGTAATGCCGCTCTGACATCACATTGACCAACTTCTTCGACGCATGTGCGGGCAGGAGCGCGTGATTGCTTCTGGACCTTACATGTGTTGACGTGTGTTGAATAAGCTAACCGCAGATGGCGCTCGAATGCTGCCAGACCTTGGATGGCACTTTACTACCGGAGACGCGCGCTTGAATGTTTCCAGACCTTGTACTGCACTTCAGCGGTCTAACTTCTACCTCGGACGAGCACCCGGATGCTCCTAGATCTCGGATGGCATTTTACTACCTCAGACGCGCTTGAATTCCCCCCAGATCTTGCAAGTTGTGCTAACTGACAAGCGCATGGCTGCTTCCACAGCCCAGACGCGCTTCTCATGCTCTTTTACAAAATCAATTCTCTCCCAAAACAACTTCTAGA